GGGGGGGGGGGGAGGGAGGTTGCCTAAGGCCACGCGTTCGGGGTGGAGGAGGGGGTTGCGATTGTTGACTCGCGAGGAGGCGAGGGCGGCCGACATGGGGAGGTCGCAGCGGCGTCAGCATGAGCCTGCCCCTAACCATGTGCAGGACACATTCAGGGGTTGCTCCTCTGTGTACCGTTACCTGGTTGTCGGCTAGAAGGTAGACAACAAGGGGGTCATGATGCTGCGTTGCACTTTTTGCAACGAAGTATTTCAGGGGAGCCAATTCCAGGCGACGAGGCATGTCACGCAGACGAACTACTGCAAGGACGTCACCGACGGTCAACGACGAGGCTTTGTACGAGATCGTGCGACAGAGTCAACAGAAGTTTTAGAGCGATCAAATGGAGAGGGCTCCGAGGTACGAGGCGGAGCGCGGACTCGATGTGCCTGGCACGGGTGGTGTGAGGGGAGGAGAGGCGGGGCGGCAGCCCGTGGAGGGAGCGTCAGGAGGGGTCGGGGGAGATGGTGGAGGTGGAGACACGGAGGAGGGCGCGATCGACGTCGATCGCGAGGTGCGTGTCCCGAGCGAGCAGAGAGTCTCGGGACACGAGGACGTGCCTGAGGTTTATCCAGGCACTGGGGAGAGGATGGAGGACTTTTTGAGGCGAGCAGCCAAGGGACCTGTAGGGGAGGGTACTTCCAAGAGGAAGGAAGGTGGAACAGATCCGGCCGCTGCCCCAGCTGGGAAGAGGCTTCGCCAACAGAAGGTGACTGATGTCTACGGTGGCGAGTGGGTTGCTCGCCACAAGAAGGCATTCCTTCACTGGCTCTATTCCAGCGGGGTCCTTTTCAATGCCTTCCTTAACCACGCTTGGAAGGCATACCAGCAGGTCCTTCTTGAGCAGCCTGGCAGTTCCCCGCGCGCTGTGCTCCCCAGCCACAGCGAGATTGCGAGTATGCAGGCGGTGGAGACCCACCGTGAGGAGCTGGCGATGGAGTTGGAGGAGGTGAGGCAGCCATTCTGGATCACTGGTGCCACCCTCCTCTCCGACGGGAGGAAATCACGAGACGGGAAACCGATCGTGAATTTCCTTGCCACCGGCTCGCGAAGGGCCGTCGTGTACACGACGGTCAATCGTGAGAGCGAGCCAGACGATGCAGTGCACGTCCTTCAGAGATCGGTGACCATCTTGCACGAGTTCAGTTTTGGCGGCCCGCAGTAGGTCAATGCGATATGCACAGACTCCGCATCGGCGTACGTGGGGGCTGCGAGGGCATTGGCCTCGCCGAGCATCCCTCCTGCACTCAGGAGCATCACTTGGCTTCCGTGTTCCGTCCATGTCTGCAACAAATTGTTGTCAGACATGGGGACGAGTTGCGACACGTTTGTGGACGTGATTACACACGCTCGTGTTCTGGTGGTGTTTTTCAAAACCCACCAGGCCACCCTTCATTTCTTTAGGAAGCGCAGCCCCAACAATGGGCTTGTGCTTTCTTGCGAGACGCGGTTCGTGTCTGTTTATTCTATGTTGGAGAGACTATTGGCCCTGCAGGACGCTCTGCAGGAGATAATGCGAGGGGATGACAGACGGGAGTTTGCTTCTATACCGTGGTCTGCCGATGTGTGCGACATGGCGCGTTGGGTGCGCCGGCAGATCAGATGGGAGCCTTGGTGGCAGACGATGGTCACCATACTTCACATCATGCAGCCCGTCATGGAGCTGCTTACGCGGATGGATCGTGGGGGGCAGTACATGTCCCTCATGATCGAGTGGACATAGGATCTTTTCCGCCGTGTCACTGATGCATGCGCTCCTTTGGGGAGGGTTTTCGCTGACCGCATCATCAGGCGTGTGCAGGCTTGCACACAGCACATGGTGGAGCCTGTTCACTGCGCGGGGTTCTTACTGAACCCCCGCAGACGACATGTTGAGTACTTTTCGGGCGAGGTGAGGGATTACCCTCGTTGGCTTGTGAGGCAAGCCAAGAGGTACATTTTCACGCAGACGGACTACAAGGAGGATGGTGTGGAGTACATCATTGCATGTCGACAGTTTGAGGACTTCCACATGCAGCAGGGCACATTTGGGGATTGGGGAGGGGGGGACGGGAGTGCTCGTGGGCGTGCTTGCAGTGGCAACAGGGAGACGATTGAGTGCGCGTCCTGGTGGTCTCAGTACGGGTCTGGCACACCTGAGTTGCAGCGCTGCGCTCTTCGTGTGATGCACATGTGGTCTTGCGCCTCTCCAGCGGAGAGAAACTGGGCAGTCCACGAGGGCATTCACACAAAGAAGTGCAACCAGTTGGCCTTTGAGAAGGTCGTTCAGCTTGTTGAGATCACCGCAAATGTGCGGTTGTCGGAGTATCGGCGGGCTAGGTGCAGTTATGTGCTGCCATGGCAGCGGGACGAGGGCATTCTAGACTGCCAGGCCGGACTGGAGTTGGAGCCAGTGCGCACGGGCACACGCAGGGGGATGACGTCGGAGGAGATTGTCCGTCAGGTTGCGCTTATCACCCGGGATCCTATCGGGGTCTCCGCACCACTCGCCGCTGAGGCCGTATTCGGTAGACGTGCTTCCATTTTCTGTCCTTACCCCAGGGAGGATGATTCCGACGAGGAGCCGGTACCCGAGGCAGCGGACCACCCCGCGCTCCGCATTCCCCGTGAGATCGACGAGACGCACGAGTCTCCCGAGGAGGAGACCAGGGCGCATACTGCACGACGGGCGGCGGACAGGTTGGAGAGGGAGATGATGGGGGGAAAGGAGGAGTTGTGGGGACCGTTCGGGGAGGTCGCTTCCACGGGCGGCACAGGAGCGCGAGCGACGAGGCCCGCTCCGACGAGGCCGGAGTCGTCCGTGGAAGATACACCCCCGTTTTTGCGTTTAACACGATTTAACAGGGGTCGGGAGCCCGTTAAACGGATGAACGCGCTTTCAATTTTTCGCGTTCTCCGTTAAAAAGATACACAGATTGTTGCTCCCTTGTCTCATCGCGCGGACAGATACCAATTCTTCTCTCTATTTTTTGGATACATCTGTGGTTGCATGTGTGTTGTCCTTCTATTTTATCCCTAGGAAGGTAGGTGCTTCTGCCACTCTTACCCTGGTCCTGTGTGTCTTTCGCTGGCTTATGATCATTCGGCAAAAGCGGCCCTCCTCACCCTTACCACAGATGGGCGTATGAAAAGGTCTTACCCCGCCGCGTTTGTGATCGCCTCCGCGCCTTGCACCTTGCCCACAGTGTGCCGACTGTTTTTTGGTCGGAGCAGCATAAGTATGACGTGTTGTACTTACGCATGACTCATGTGATACACACATGCCACACATTCAAAAGGACGAGCTTCCTCAAGCGCTGTCGGGGGGTGCACCCCCTGACCACACTGTGGTCTCTTTTAGCGGCATTTTGTGTATGTCGTAGCGTGAACTCGGGTGATGTTCGTGGCCATGGCGTACGCCGAAGTCGCCTGAACGCTGGAAGGAGTGGGGGCTGGGGTATTGCCGAGAAAAAGATTACGAAACCCATGAGAAGGACGAATGGTAGATATGTTGCAGAGTTTGCCCTGATTGGTTGCCTACTTCGTATTGTCATATCATTGCGAATCGCTCTGACCCTGTCACGTTCCCATTGCTTTTTTTTCCCCCCTGTTTTTTCACCCCCCTTTTTTCCCCCCCTTGTACAATTTTTTTCTCTCCTCCTTTGTCCCGTCCTTTTGCTCCTTGTGTTTCCCGCTTTCCACTTCTATCCCATAATACGGTTCTTGCATTTGCGGATGTGTGACGGTCCCACCAATCATCTTTTCTCCGGTTCTCCCGCTTTTCGCTACCCGATTTGCCCGACCATGCCCCGCTTTCTTAGATACTACCTCCGCCCAAGGAAGCATTCCCGGGCGGATGGTGGAACGAGATCGTGCACCGTTACCCATGGTTAGGGGAATGTGCCTGTCTCGTGAGACCTATGCAAGCGTTGTTCGCTTGCATCAACCCGGGGGTCATTAGCGCATTGAAGGAGAAATGGGACTCCGGGCGATTCCCCCACCTATTTGAAATGATCGGTTTTAGCGATCTTCCCGTGCTTGCCAGTGCTTGGGACCGCAGTAGGATCGATTTCGACGGTGAGCTTGGGGTTCTTTGCGAGAAGCTGGAGTTAAGGAAGCAGGAATACGCTAAGGAATGCAAGGGGCTGGGGGGGAGGACTGCAAGGGTCGAGCATATCTTCCTCAAGATCTGGGGATTGGACGACTCCCACCTAGAGGATCAAGTTCCGGATGACCGCGGAGGTTGCTCTCCGATCGCTAGGGGCAATCCGATTGCACACTGTGACGATCTTGCGATCAAGGAGGATAGAGAATTGAAATGGAGCGTGCCATCACTGCCATCAAGGCCACTGCCCACGAGTCGCCGCCCGCATCAAACAAAACGGGGGTTGGACGCAGCCGAACGCGACCAATTCATAGCGTTTGTACCTCTTGCGTCCGCATACTGGGTCAAGCATACATCCATGGGCCACAAGCATGCCATCTGGAAGATGGATACATTTAACCACCATGCACCCATCTCTATTCGAGCACTCGAGTTTCTGAGGAACGTCATGGACGAGCAAGTCAAGCATTGCAGGACGTAGATCTTAAAAGGTAAGCTCAAGTACTGTGGCAGGGTCAGCCCGCTGGATCCTCAAGATTTGAGGTTCCCACCCCATGCGTCTGCTGGATCCTGATAAGTGTGGGGAAACGAGCGCGGGGATGTGGCAGAAGGGTATAAGACAGGAGGGAAAGCCTGAACTCAGGGTTTTGAGGAAGGTGTGGAGTGTAGGTAGAACGTACCTGAAGTGCAAGTGCAAGAAGGAGAGGAGTCAGAACTGTGGGGATACCCCGTTGTGGTTCGATCATGCGATCTGGTACCTTATGGCGCATCCCGATATCCTTTTTCCGAACATGTCCTCAGTCAAGATCCGGACGTCGATGCTTATCCACTATATCAGGACCACGTGGAGGGATGGGATATTAGCTGCCATCAGCTTCCACTTTCTCAGAGATCTGATGATGGACTATGCGAAGGAACTGGAGGCGAATCCAACCCTGAACGCGAAGACCGTTGTCGGGACTGGTGGGTCCCGAATAACTTCCCATCACTCGAGAGATTGAATACGGACAATTTGTGTACAATAGAGAAATCATGAGTGAGGAAGCAGGAGAGAGAAAAGACAAAGGATTAGGCAGCAGAAGAGAATGATACCCTGAGGAGAGAACCACAGGAGGAAAGAACTAGCGACGGCAAGCAAGCAAGCGCAAGAACAGGGGCACATAGAACATATCAAGAGGTCGGGAGGGTCATCGGAATGCAATAAGACTAAGGCCAAAGGACCCTTTGAACAAGCAATTGCAGTGCGCCAGCAATAAAAGAATGAGGAAGTCGAGGGATGGGCGGCCAGAAGCCGCGGGAAGTCAGGAAATGAGGGGCCGACATGAATGCCACCGACAGGAGCCTCGGTGCAGAGTCCCACGACCAAAGAGATCGGCACGCACAAGGCACGAGGAAAGACTAAGGAGAGGGGTCGCTATGGGGCGACAAGACGCCCAAGGGGCATGGGATATCTCGGAGAAAAGGCACCCGGGGCCACATGGGACTAAGTAAAAATAACGGCGTCCGGGGCGAAATGTGTCGGGGACCGCCGACGGGACTAAGTGTCGGGGACCGCCAACGGGAGTAAGTGTCGGGGACCGCCAACGGGACTAAAGTGTCGGGGACCACCAACGGGACAAGTAGCGGGGACATGTGAAGGTCCCAAGAAGAAATGGCGGCACTGCATGAGGGGAAAATAATAAATGCAAGGTGCACCGTCAAGATCGACATCTTGACGGCCAAGAATATTACCACCACTAGTGCAAGTACTGGTGGTGACAAACGGGAAGACGAAAAGGAAAAGGAAAAGTAAAGAAAACTGAAGTGGGAGGCATAGGAGCAATCCGAAAAATCTGGGATCATCCTCCCTCAAGAAAATAGAGTCAAATGAGACCCCATGTGAAAAATAGCCCTCCGGGACAAAACCGGAGTAGGAGGGACCATTGTGGGAGAAATGTAGGAGTAAAAGGAGGTTCCTATGGGCGTGGGAAGGCCATTATTGCAGTCCGAGAAATAACGGACTGCACCTTGGGCATAGGGAGGGCCAAAACTAAGAGGGAGAGGCTAGAAAAGGGCCTTAACGGCCACTTGACACTTGGCATGCTAGAAAAAAGAGAGAAAAGAAAAGAAAATGTGGGAGAATAAGACAAAAAGAGTGAGAGGGAGTGAGTGAGTTGGCCGTCAGTAGGGACTGCCATGGGTAGGGACTGGCAGGTCCCTACTGTCAAAGAAAGGCGGAGAAAAAGAAAAAAAAAAAAAA